CCCCCCCCCCTCCCCCCAAGTAAGGAACACTTTAGCTTTGTGGCTGATTTCGTACGTTCTGAAGCGTTTCATGATCTGATTCTTTGTGTACATGCGTCTGTTGCGACATGTATCAATTTGAGGGAAAAAATTGGAATTGATCCACGCCCGGGGGCAAAATCCTCACATCCCCGGGTTTCCCGGCTGAAATCGGGGACGGATTTTACCCCGTTCTTGACCGTACGGCGGTGCTGCGCGCATGAAAAGAGCCAGAACTAAGAGATCAATGCACCGTTGGTCTATCCTGCTCATATATGGACTCCCTGAAATGAAATTAGGACGAAAAACGTTGCGTAGGTGATGTAATGCCTGTTCAAACAGGCATACCTGGACCTGGCCGCTACGGTAAGAATACTCCGCGGGGACCCCAAGGCCATTTCCCTTGTTTCACATTCGCCTCACACTCCCACAACGTGCCCTATGGTGGGTAAGTGTTTTTTATGACAAGGAACGTTGTTGCAAAAGAAAAAAATCCATGCATAACCGGGGACAAAAGTGCCATATCCCCGGTTTCGCGGCAAAATCAAGGTATCGTCCCCCCCCCCCTCCGACCCCGGTGCTGGAGTGCACCCCAAGCATCGCTGCATAGCCCTAGAAATCACCCCAAGCTTCTACTAGGCACATCAATTTGACTGTAAGAAAAAACTATGTCGTCTGGAGCTCATTTGACCTCTTTTCATAGACTACATACATTCAAGCACGAACTGGGTCAGGCGAAAAGCAGCTTGGCACTGCGGTGAGACTGCTCGCAGAAAATCACACCTGTTTCCCACCACTCGAACGCCCCATCGAAAGGTCCTTTCAAGACGATCAGCTCAAGTCGCGAAGCAGCAAAAAAAAAAAATCGCCCTTCAGGCCCGGGAACAGCATTTCAACGTCCCCAGGGTTCCGGAAAACACCTCTATCTACACCCCCCATCCCCCTTCCCCCCCGTGGTACAAAAAAACTTTTGAAGCACAACCCTGGAATCATATCGGCACCTCGGCACTCAACTGAGGTTTTCTCTATGCCTCACTCGAATAATTCATCCTTCACCCGAATGAAAAACGATAACCGCACAGCATCTAGTCTACACATCAACGATTGGTGTCGGGGTTCGTTGCCGTTCTCGAGAGGGAAAAGGGGCCGCCGCCGCCGCCGGCTGAACCAAGGGAACCACCGCCCCTCTCGGCCGTCCCGCTCCTCCTTGAATGCGAGCACCGCCCCCCACCCGCCCACCAGCCCTCCTTCCCTCTCCGCGAGCACGCCCACCCGTCCCCCTTCCCTCTCCGCGAGCACCAGCGGGGCGGCCCCGGCCACCCTGTNCAAGATTGGCCTCCCTCGCTGCCCTTGCCTCTGTACGGGCCTTGGCGTTGTCCGCCTTGGCTTTCTCAGCTGCCTCCTTCTCTTTTTTGTCCTTCCTGACCTTTGCAAAGGTGTTCTTCGGCGGACAGGAGACCGCACTCGGGCTTCCCCCCGCCCGCCCGAACGGTCGCGAAAGACTTGGAGCGCTTGGTGAGGCGGGTGAGCCCGCCGAGGAAGACGGTGTTCACGCGGAGCCCCTCGATCATCACTCCCTGTCGTTTCAGCTCCAGGTGGGCAGCGTGG